ACAGATGGCAAATAAGCACACAAAGATGTTCCACCCCATCAGCCATCAGGGAATATCAGTACACAGCGATCAGAACATCTGTAATGGACAACACCAAGTGCCGGCGAGGCTGCGGAGAGACTGGTCAGTCATGCGTTGTTGGTGGAGATGTGCGGCCATTCTGGAAGACAGTTGGGCAGTTTCTTAAAAAAACTCAACCTGCAGGGACCATATGATCCAGCCATTACATTCCTGGCTGTTTATCCCTGAGAAATGAAAACGTATGTTCCCACAAAAACCTATACTCAAATGTTTATAGCAGCTCCAGGGAGAATAGTCCAAACTGGAAACAACCCACAAGTCCATCAACAGGTGACCAGTGAGACAGCTGTGCCAATCAGCAGCAGAGAGGAGTCAACACCACAACCACCTGGGTGACTCTCCAGGGAATTGTGGTGAGTGAAAAAAAGCCAGTCCCCCGAAGTTCCGTGCCGTGTGATTCCATGTCTGTAACATTCGTGAGCTGGCAAACTGGTGGAAATGGGGAACAGGTTAGCACTGCCAAGGACTGTGGAAGGAGGCGTGGGTATCCGAGGATGGCAGGAAGGGTCCTTGTGCTGGTGGAAATATTCCGCATCCTGGGTGTGACCTTGACTTAGGGGACATGTACTTGGCCATAGGCTTTAGTCGTTACCTCCCACCTCTTCCTGGTCCTTGTTTGGGTCTTAATTCGAAGACAGCAGGAGTAGAGAGGGAAGGGACAGAATGAACAGACACAGAAATTCCCTAGTGAAAGGCCTTTCCTGCTCCTGAACTCAGGGCTGGTGCCACCCAGGGGGTACTCTCTGCTGGTCTGTTCTCTGCTGTTCTCCTGCCTTGGAGGCCCTCTTATTGTAGGTGGGTAAAATATTGGGGTCCATCATCTTTCCCACCAGTGTGGGGTGCTGTCCGTGGTGCTGAATGAACGAACACACACACACACACACACACACACACACACACACACCCAACTCCCCCCACGCCCCCAGGACGGGATTGTTTCTCCCGGCCCCTTACTTCCTTATTGTTGACACAAACCCAAATCACCCTTAAAGTCTACTTTGATTTGGGCCTGAGAGGAGTTTCAGACCCAGCCCATAGGAAGCATCTGTTTTGGCTTAGGTATGCCGGTGGCCAGTTGGGAAAGGGGGGCGGTCCTCCTGCAGCCCTGTCCTATTCAGCCAGGTTCTGCCTAGTTTTTAAACACTTGCAGCCTAGAATTGTCAACACACACATACACACATACATAGGTGCACAAGCAAAAATCACTCTTAGTTGTGTTAATAAAGGAAAAACAGCAGCATAGAGGAGGGTTATTTTTCCCCCACTACACCTGACGTAGCAGGTATTTCTACTGTACAGGGGTTGACTCCCCCCTTGTTTCACTCATTCATACATGGAGCCCCCACCCTAATACAGACAGCTCACTCCCCGTATTCCCTCTTCACTTCACTATAGCAGATTTACCCTCCGCCAGCGCTGCCAAATGTGGCCAGAGCCGGACTCGGAGAACTCGGATGTTTGTTCTCTGTTACTGACGTATGGAAATCTGCAGTGGGGTCAGACTCCAGCTGAACACTTGCAAACCGCAGTGGTTCAGAGCATGCGCTCCGGGCCTCACTGTCTGCATCTCCACCCTGGGAACTAGCTCTGTGAATATGGACACGCTCTCTGGGTCCCAGTTTCCTCCTCAGCGAAATGGGGGTGGTGAAAGCCTTGGCTTCCTGGGGCTGGAACAGGTGAAGTGCTCAGACGGTGCTGGCCTCCGGTGAGTGCTGCCTTGTCTGCTGTTGCCATCGTCTGGGGTCTGTCCTCCCCGAGCTGGGGAGCAGTGGGCAGGCCGTTTCCATTTCTTGTTCCATGTGGCTAAGTGCTCGTTACCCCTTTGCGATCGTTCTGAGAGCAGCATGCTTCGCCTGGCACGGGGCCTCCTGATGGCCAATAAAAGCGGCTGTTGTGAAGGATTCAGCAGCATTTAAGTGCTAAAAACGATCCACTGGAAAGGGTGATTGTCTTTGATAGGACTTCTCAAAATCTCGGCATGACAGCAACCTGGGGGGCAGGGCCTGGGTGACCACAGGGCTGGGGGGGCGGGGCAGAGACGAGCTGTGGTCACCAGGGCCAGCCAGGGAATTGTAAACTGAGGAATGTTCTTGAAGAAGCCTGGGCGGTTTTATGGAGAGCTCTCAGGACCTGGCCACTGAGTCTTTGCTCAGTAATATTTCGTGGCTGATGCTGGGTCACAAGGCTAGGATTGGGGAGGGGGGAGTGGGCAGGGAGATACAACAAAAAAGTGAAGCCAGGGCTTCTGCCTTCAACAAGATGGCAGGCTAATTGGGGAAGAGAGCTGATATAGGGAGCATTAGATGATGACTGTTTCCTGAAGGGGGTTCCATGGAACCCTGGTCCTGCAGAGTGCTCAGTGGAATACAAAGGGAGTGCGGTATACATTTCTGGCCAAAAGAGTTTGGGAAATACTGCACACTACACTGCCACCCATGTGAAGAGTCAGCACCCATCTAAGACCATAAAGGCACTGAGAAGTTCTGCAATAAAGTAATTGATTTCATGATCTCAGTGTGTCCCAAACATTTGGCTAGGGAGCCTTTTTGAACTTTTCTCTCCCCATGAAACTTTTTTTAATATTCTTTATTAATATTAGAGAGAGAGTAAAGGAGAGGGACAGAGAGATAGAAACATCGATGAGAACATTGATTGGTTGCCTCCTGCATGCCCCCCCTGGGGATTTGGCCCACAGTGTGGGCATGTGCCCTGACCGGGAATCAAACCGGTGACCTCTTGGTGCATGGGCTGACGCTCAAACACTGAGCCACACTGGCCGGGCACCATGAAACTCATTAACATCCAGTGTTTCCCAAATCGTGTCCCGTGGACCACTCCAGATGCACTCAATTTGAAGCATCAGCACGCCCCTCCCGGTGATTCTGATGCACGCTGACGTTCGTGGGCCAGCGGATGTGCTGCTAGGACACCAGTGGGGAGCTCTGCAGAGGACCAGTCGGAAGGGAAGCCGCGCGGGGGTACGTGCTGCACATGCTGTGGGTTCCTGGGGCCCAAGCGCTGAGGAAAGTGCAGGACTGGAGGAGTGAAGGGTCCTTAGCTGGATTTTAAGGAAAGGAAGCCTGGGGGAGGGGGGAGGGCACACTTGCTTGTTGTCTCAGAGTCCAGGAAGACCGCAGCGGCCCAAAGAGGAATCTAACCCCACAGCCTCGGCAGCTCTGGGGCCTTGGACCCCCTTTGCTGACAGGCCGGCGCGCACACTAACCCGGCACCACCTGAGCACCAGGAGGAAGCCAAAGCCTGGCAGCCGCCAACAGAAGGCTGGAGGAGGCGGGGTGCCTGGGCACAAGCCAGGCCCTGGGCACCTCCCCTCTGTCCTTAGCTTGTCCTCTCCTCTGCGGGTCCTGGGTGTGAACAGGCCTCGGGGTGTTGGAGGGTGCGGTGGGTCTGGCTCATGCTGTCACATTTCAGAAATCAGGTCGCAGTCGCCCTGTCTGTGGGTCTGTCTGTCCGCAGGCTCCTGCTCCTCTGGCTTTTCTGATTTCTTTTCTGGACACTAAGTGGGTTTGTGGGGTGTGTGTGGGGTGTGTGTTAGGTGCTGCAAACTTTGAGGGTTGGTGTCCAGAACTCAAGAAGCGGGCACTTCTCCAGTTTCGGGGGCTCTGATTAGATCTGAAGCAACAGGGCAGGGTGGCCCGAGGTCGGCTTGGACGCTGTCAGCCCAGGGCTGGTGGGCACAGAGATGGGCGTGTGAAGCTGTTTGGCTCTGGCGTCTGTTTAGCTGCCCCCGTCCGTCACTGCCGAGTGAGGCCTGGCCCCTCTGGGCACTGCCTGGGCCACCACCTCGGCATCGGCGAGGGACAACACAGGAAGGCCCTGCCGGTGAGGTTCTTCCCTCTGGGCTGCGGCTTGAAGGGGGTAGATTTTGTTTCCAAGTGCCAGGCTGTTTCTCCAGCCTTTTGATGCAAGGTCGTGTGCCCTAATTACATGCCTGTCTCATCCCATTGCAACAGACGCTGAGGGCGTGGCTCTCGTTGTGTGCGGGTTCGTGTGTCAAGCAGGCTACAGGAAGGTTGTCCCCGCAACTTGCCTCCTCACCTGCCAGGACACCAGCCTTCCTGGGGGTCACGTTCCTATCGCACTCGGCAGGGAGGCTGTTGTCTTGCTCAGTCCTCGCGTGTCCTTCAGTGGCCTGAGGGTCCTCGTTCTTGCAAAGGGCTGTCACCTCCAGGGATGCCCCCAGGGTACCCCAAGCTCTGCAGAGATGGGGTTCCAGCTCCTTGGTCTGTAAAGGACTCACATCCTGGCACTTCTGTTGCTCACCTCGGAAACTGGCACATTGTCAGTGGGGTGCTGTGGAGGCAGGGGGCTGGTCATGTGGGAAGTGGCGAGTGCGAACCCTGTGGAAGTGGAGGGCGTGTGGAGGCAGAGAAGCCACATCATAGAAGCTGGAGCAAGTAGTCTTCTCTGTCTGTGGGCTGGATCACGTAGGAACCATCCGAAGCTGAAGACGCACCGGCGGACAGGGAAACCCAGCCGCTGCAGAGCCTTGGTCAGCGGGGGCTTCTAGGCGCTGCCTGATTTCAGGGAGGGGGCCCAGCCCCCGGCATGGACCCCCAGTGTGCCTGGGCCTGTAGAGCCCGTCCCTGGGAGGAGCCGTGGCCATCAGGCTGGCGGTGTGCTGGCAGCTCGTCCCTGTGGGGGTTTGCGGAGGCAGAGCCATGGGCTGGGCCGCAGAGACCCCAGCTGTGTCTGCACCTGATGGCACAGCTGTCGAACGCCCCCAGAGGGCCCAGGCCTGGGGAGAGGCCAGGAGGCCACCTCGGAGCCCACCGAGGGGAACCGGGAGGACCTCTGCAGCCCTCTCTGGGACTGGGCCGTGGAGAGGCCTTCCACCCACTTGTTCTCAGTGCCCCGGACAAGCAAATAACGGCCCCCCTTTCCTCCTGCACCTCCTCTAGAACGGCAGCAAAGAGAACTCCCTGGACATGCTGGGCACAGACATCTGGGCTGCCAACACCTTTGAGTCCTTCAGGTAAGCTCCGCTTCTTGTGGTGTGGCTCTGGCTGGGGCCCCAGCTCACTTGCCCCGATGCCCCACGGAGTCCTTGGGGGCCGAGGAGACGTTGAGAGTTCACTGATCGTGAAGTGGAGAGAAACCAGAGGGCTGAAACAGCTCACAGGATGAGGTCAGGAGGGAGGGCAGAGAGGGGAGAGGAGACGGAAGAAGGAAAGGGGAGGGTGTCCAAGGGGAACCGAAAGAGGAGGGAAGAGTGGGATACAGAAGCTGCCTCTCCTCCCAAGGGGAGAGGGAGGACTGGGGAGAGCCGAGGAGACTGGCCGCCTGGGGTAGAGGCAGGACAGGGCTGTGGCTGTAGGCCCCGCCCCGCCCCGCCCCGGAGCTCATTGCTGGGGGTTGGCCGCAGGTTAAGTCTGGAGGGCGGAGGGATTGTCAGTGGCTCACACTCTAGAAGGTTCCTGATGGACCAGGTTGGAAGAACAGGTAGTGGCCAGGGCTCCCCAGGAGGAGGGGACAGTGCCCCTGAAGGGGTTGCTGATGAGCTCCTGCCACAGTGCCCATCTGTCTGGGGAGTGATGGCCCCGGCCGTGGCTGGCGTGGCCCTTTCACTCACTCTGCCCTGGCTCGGGTTCGGGCTCAGGCAGCACTAAGGGTCTCCTGGAACTGGGAGGTGCAGGGCCTCGTCTCCAGGACCTCAAAACGGCCTTGTCACCCCTCTGAGCTACTGTCAGACTCTGGTGAGATTTTTGCCCTCCTTTCTCTCTCCGGGCCTCCTCACTGTAGGTGTGGAAACAAACTCTCGTGTTTTCGGGGGACCGCTGTAGTAGAGGCATCAGGCTTACACTGTTATGAATGCATGTTACTGCACTGTAGGTTTGGGGGGGCATAGCTTCATAGGCAGTCCCCTGAGGCGACGCTGCAGGCCCCATTCTGAGTGAGGGGTCCCTGCCTGCCCCTGCCCTAGGCTGGTGGATGTGTGCCCCACCCCCAGCTCCCTGTGGGCCTGTTTCTGAGGATGCTTCCCTGCCCGGTTGCGCCTGGGTGTCTGGGGCCCATCAGTAACTGGGCCTGCCTCCCACTTACCTCTTATTTCTTGCCCTCCCTTGCCCTCTAGTGGTGCCACCTGGGACCTGCAGCCTGAAAAGCTGGACTTCACCCAGTTCCACCGCAAGATTCGACACATGCCCAAGCAGCCCCTGCCACACATCGACCGTGAAGGGTAAGGGGAAGCGGCCAGGGGAGGCGGTGCGGCTCTTACATAGGGGTGTGGTGGGGTAAAGAACAGCTGGGGCTACACCAGAGCTGAGAGGGGCCTTTCCCTGGACAGGAAGGGCGTTCCAGCTGCACTGGGGACGTACAGATGACTCACTGCTGCAGACCTGCAGGCTCCCTGGCCGCTGTCCTGCATCCTTCCACCCTTCACTGCCCAGCCCCTCCAGCCACACTGCCCACTCCCCTTCCTGACCCTGCTTGTCCGGAGCCTAGTGCAGTGGGTCTCACACTTGATCAGAACCACCTGGGGGCTTGTTAAACACCGATCCCTGGGTTCTCCCCAAGTCTCCAGTTCTGGACGTCTGTGTGGGGCCTGGGCAGGTGCATCTCACACACGCCTGGGAGTGCTGATGCTGCTGGTCCTGGGACCCACTTTGAGAACCACCTGTGTTATGGCAGATTTTACACCGGGTTGTCTCACCCTCTACTCATTTCATGCATGAGTGCTGCCTTCCCTTTTAGAGAACCCTGTTCTCTTGGGTTTTCATGGAGGTTTTGTTACATAGTCATGATTGATTAAATCATTGGCGATTGGCAGTTGATTCAATCTCCAGCCCCTCTCCCCTGCCCAGAAAGTTCTAACCCTGCAGTCTCTTGGTTGGTTCCCCTGGCAACCAGCCCCATCCTCAGGTTACCTGGCAACCAGCCCCATCCTCAGGTTTCGTCGCTTCATTAACATAACGAAAAGTACCTCTGTCCCGCCATCATTTAGAAAATTCAAAGGATTTTAAGAGCCCTGTGCCAAGACTGGGGAGGCAGACCAAATATACCTTACTATAAATGACAACATCCCACGTGGTAGTTCTGTGTTTTAGCTTTCTGAGGAGCTCCCAGTGTTGTCCACAACAGCTAAACAGTTTCCCTTCCCACCAGCATTGTACAAGCGTTCTGATTTCTCCACATCCTCACCAACACTTGTCATTTTCTTTCGCCTCTTTTTTAAACTATACTCATGGTTTTAATGTTTCCTTCCAAACCTGCTCTGCCCACTGCTGTCTCCTTGTCACGTTAGGTCTAAACTATCCTGCCTCTCACCTGGCCCCCTGCTGCCACTTTCTGTCCCACCCACACCTTCCTGCCCCACCCACACCTTTCTGTCCCACCCACTCCTTCTCTTGGCAACACTGGTCCCACCACAGTGGAAGAGCAGCAGCCTGGGGAGGGAGATGTTCTCATCCTTATTTCAGAGAAGAGAGATGGAGCGCAGAGAGGAAAGTAGCCTGCCCAAGTAGCAGAGCCACGGTTTAAGGCCTTCTGACACCATCCAGTGTACCCTTGAATCAGCCAAACCCCATGAACACTTCATGGAAAATTGTGAGCACATGTATGTTTTTCTAGGGGTATGTCCCTCATATCACTCTCGCATGGGACCCCAGCCTCTTTCCACACCTTTTAAAAAGTGTTCCTGCTTGTGTGGGTTCAGAACGTTTGGCTCTTTGTTGGGTGGAGAGAGCAGATGGCTTTGAGCATGCACGGAGCGTCCTGTTGGAGAGCGACAGAGCAAAGCAGAGGCCCAGCCCCAAGGCTCCCCTGGCCCTGCCGCATGCGGCTACCTGCTCACTGCAGCCCAACCCCCATTCGGCAGCAGCGTGGCCACTTCCTCCGAGCTGCTGAGCTGCACGGGCTGAGCTCACATGCTGAGTTTAGGAAAGCTGACCGTCCCTCAGCAGGTCAAGTTCAGGAGCAGGTTTTCAGTACAGGTGTTGCTTGCCCATGGCCTTGTTGTGGGAGCGGCTGAACTTGGGGTATGCCATGGGAGCGAGCATTGTGCATTTCTGAAGCCCAGGTGCTAGGCCCCCTAGGTCCCCGCGTGGTGCTGGGTGCTGTGAGAACACACATACGCACGCATACACACATATGCGCACACGCACGCACACACACGCACACGCACATGCACACACTGGATAAAATACAGTTTCTGCCCAGCAGGACTGTTTACTATTAAAAGGAGACATGAATGTATTCATGATTGAGACTTGTAGGGAAATAGGAGACTCGGTTTCGTGGTGTAGACATTTAGAAAACACACTGTGAAATAGGCTGCCAGGCGCGTAGTTAAGGAAATGCAAAGGGGTCAGGGCGCAGGGCACTTGGGAGGATGAACTGTCTGGGTGGGAATGAGAGGGCTTTCCCTGGGATGCTCCCATCTCTCCTGTGTCCCCCGGGAGCACGTGGATGGTGAAACCGGTGGGGAAACTGAGGCCCAGAGGACAGGAGGACTGAAGGGGTCTGATGGGGAATGCATATCGAAGTCGGGCTTTTCGAGGTGTCTGCACCAGTCCCCACAAATTAACAACACAGTACGACTTGGTAGTGGCCAGAGATGACTCCCCAGGGGAGGAGAGGCTCCCCTCGTGCTGAGGACCTGTGTCTCCTCTGCAGCCAGAGGGGTGGGCCGTCTTCCTCTCCAGCTTCAGGCCAGGCTCACCTACTCACTGGAGCCTCTAGGGTTTGCTGACAGTTGGCTGGGGTCTCCCACAGACTCCTGGTTCTGACCAAGTTCTGTCTCACACTGGTTCCAGGAAAGTCCAGTTGCGCTTCCTGTGGCCACCTTGTGGCGGGGCCAGGAACTGTGTCCCCTTCAGAGTCCTGCCGCACTGGGAACAGACTCCACATGCCCAGCCACTGCAGCATCCTCGGAAGTAGGGTACCACTTCATTGCCAAGGCTTCTGCAGCCCGCGCACCCATGGAGGGACAGAAATTGGAAGAGGCTGTTGCCTTGGAAACCATTTTGGCAGAGTGACTCAGCTGGTCTCTAGCAACCTTCTGCCCTCCAAGCCTGCAGTCCTGCAGGGGTGTGAGCACCAGACAGGGCGGGTCTAGGGCCCAGGGGGCCACAGCCCTCCCGGCACACTGCCCCCTGCCCACCCTGGGGCTGTGACCTGAGAACGAAGGGCCCTGCCTGTGCTGTGCTAGGCCGGAGCCCGGAGCGTGGTTGGAGCCAGGGGTGTGTCGTATACCCACGTGACGTAGAGGAGCCGGTGTCAGCCCTTCTGGCCGGCCACGGGTCCCCAGTCCTCCTGCCCCACCGCCGTGGCGCGAGTGAAACAGAGATGATTGCAAGCAGTTGGTGCCTTCACAGGCCAGCCCACCTCCACCCGCAGATTCGTTAGTGGAAAGGTGGCCGTATGTTTCCAGACTTTTCTTACCTCGTCTGCAGCCCAGCACACCACAAGGCCAGGGTGGGGGCAGAAGGGCAAGAGCTCTCCTCTTTCCCTCCCTGCACTCCCCCTGCCCCGGTTCCACCTGCCAGACCCCTCGTTGTCCTTCCAGCCTTGGCCCTCCGGGATCACCTGTTACCCACCCCTGGCACCCTCCGGCTCCCCACTCCGGCCCATGAACACTGGCGTCTCTGCTGGCCTCATGCTTACGCTTAGCTCTGGGCCTCTGCCCTCCCTGCTGCCCTCTCCTGGGACGTTCTCCCAGATTCTCTGCTTGGCCAGCTCCCGGCCCATCTCCCTCTGCCCAGACGGTCGTGGATGCTGCTCTTCTGGGTTCCTGTAGCGCACCCTCTCTTACCCCGGAGCCAACACTGCTGGGACCCAGGCCCAGCCAGCCCAAGCCGGAGCCCACACAGAAGCACTTGTGAAACCTGGACCTAGATCCCATCCCCAGGCCCCCCTCCGCCCAAGCCTTGGCTCATTTCTGCAGCCACCAGTTTCTCTTCCTTGGGGCTCCAGGGCCTTTCCGGGGCCTCTCTCCACAGGGCTTTCGTGACACTTAGCTCATGCTGCCCCCTGCTGGTGCTCAGGCACACTGTCCTGTCCGCTGAGACCAGGACTTGCTTCCTAAGAGCTATGCGCTAAGGGTAGGAATCCGGTTGGGTTTATTTTCCATGACTCAAAGGGAGGTTGACAGGGTCCAAAACACAAGAGATGCTTGGCGAAAACGGAACAAGGAAACTAATGACTCTGCAGTTTGAAAGTTGCATGAACTGCAGCCAGAAAATGCTGCCACCGACCTCCTGGGCAGCCCTTGCCGCCCCTGGATCAATAACGATAGTAGTAACGAGTATGCACTGTGTGCAGGGAGGCAGGAGCTCTTACCTCCTTACTGGGGAAACGGACACTCACCCCCACCTGCCCGGCCTGCAGGAGGCTGGCTGGCTCTGGAACCTGTGCTCTTCCTCAGCCACTGAGCTGCCCTTCCCGGAACACAAACAGTGATAGCAGTGGAAGTGGAGTAGCAGCAGTAATAGCAATATGTTTACCTTGTTTATCTTATTTAACTATTACCTATATTCACCATGATAATACACTTACCGTTAATTATGGTATAGTGTGTGTGTGTGTGTGTGTGTGTGTGCGCCTGCGAGGTTCTAAGCACTTGGATGCATTAATCTCCATTCACTTTATCATGTTAGGCACTATTAATTATCCCAGTTTTTCAAATGAGGAAACTGAGGTGCAGAGAGGCTAAGTGACTTGCACAGGGTCACCCAGTTGGCAAGGGATGCAGCTGGGGTGCCAACCCCGGAAGTGTGGTGCCAGAGTCTGCACCTTAAATGCGCAGGAGACATGGGCCTGTGGCAGCGAATCAGGGCCAGGGTCTCTGGCCTGGAGGTTCACCTGACCACAGAGGACATGAAGACAAAGGTCAGGATCTGAGTGGGCTCGCTGGACTGGCCCAGTCAGGCCAAGAAAGAAGGCAGCCCTGTTGGGAGACAGTTGCTTGGTCTCTCTCCCTCGTTTTCTCTTTAATGTAAGGGGCGAGGTGGCAGGCTTGTGCAGAGCGGTGGCAGGTTTGGGCTTTTCTCAGCAAAGAGCTCAGTGTCTGCCTGGAAGGGTCAAGGGGAACTCCGGTACTTCTGCCCCCGCCCACAGACTGGTCTCAGCGTTCCCTCTGCATGAGCCCTGGGTCCTCGGCCGAGGCCGGTGTTGCCCGTCGGGGGCAGAGGACAGCATCTCCTGGGTCTCCAGGGCCATTTCCTCCTGGTGGGACAGGCGGATTCTGCAGGCCCCGAGGGAGGGTGGGACCAGGCGCCGCCTGCCAGGCCGCGACAGGATGATGAATGCGCCATCCTCAGTGTCTTTATGTCTTTTCTGACCCAGGTGTGGCAAAGGAAAGCTGGAGGACGGGGATGGGATCGACCTGAATGACATCGAGAAGGTCCTCCCGGCCTGGCAGGTAGGCACAGGGGCAGAGCCTCCACACGCCCCTTCCCCCAGGACCTGATGCTGGCCTGGGCAAGGCCTAAGCGCTCCTGCTGACCCCGAGCTCCAACAAGGCCTAACCGGGTGTACCGAGTGTGAGCAGGGGTGGCTGCCTTCCATGGTCCAGAGTGCCCCACTGGGATGTGTGTGCAGAGTCACACATGGGGCACATGTCACAGTGAATGGTCCTAGGTGGGGGTGCCTCACTCAGAGCTCACATGCTAACACGTGGGTGCCTGTCCAACCCCTGCCCCAGCCGAAGCCAAGGACCCTCTATCCTAATGATCCCGCCTGGTCATATTTCCACAGCAGGCCATGCACCTAGGGGGTGAGTCATGCAGTGCTGTCCCTCAGCGACCCCCATCGCTGGGGCTGCTGGGGCTCAGACCCCTGAGCTACCCAGGGCGGATAGTAGGTGCCCATGTTTTCCCAGCATGGTTCTCCACCCATGGGGGCATTGAGTTCATTAGTAAGGGCTGATGCTGTTGATGGTGACTGCCCACAAGGGCTGCTTCTTCGTAATGGTAGCTGAGGGTGAAGGTCAGCCAGCAACCAGATTGTAGCATCAGCAAACTGTCCACAGCTCCTGGTAAGCTGAGGCTAGAGCACTGCTCCCCAAGAGCTCTGATCTGGGGTGGGAAGCTAGATGCTTTGAGCGTGACATGTTTTCAGGGGTAGGGGGGGACCTCAATCATGGTTCCAGGTTGTGAAGCCATTCAGCAGGGCAGAAGTGAAAACCCACACAACTGGGTTTAGAATGGGGCTCTAGGGACCCCACCTTCATTTTTGGCATCTCTGTTGTAAAGTGCATGTGAGGTGGAGGGGGGTTGGCTGTCCCGCTGTGTTGATGGCTCCCATCGTTGCTGATCCTGCTCCCGGGGTCAGATGCACCTGGTACAAGGGCCACGCTGACAGTCGGCTGCACTGTAATCTGCTCCCACTAGAGGGCACCAGCGCACTGCTCTAGAGGCGCCACAGTGGGTCGTTTGCAGTGGGAAGTCCCTAGTCCCCAGCAGCCAAAGGGATCCTTGCCTTGGTGCTCAACATGCGAATTGTCCCCAAAATGACCCAGCCAGTGCTCAGACCTTTCCTCCCCAGAACAAGGGAGGGGGGAGGCAGTAAAAGAGGCAGCTGCACAAAGGTATAGGGAAGCACCTGTTTGGCCAAATGTCCCCTGCTGGCAGAAGCCAGACATTCCTCCCGGGAGTGCCCCACACACTCTGGAGACCCCTGGGAACACGTGGCAGGTCTCAGGGTGGCACTCCGCACACAGAAGGCTTTTCCCTGGCCTCGGGGGCAGCTCCCGCCAGTGTGGGACTCGGAGTGACGGGGTGTCGGCTTCTGCCCTTGGAAGGACAGGCACTGGCAGCCGGTGCTGAGGAGGGAAGATGGAGCGCCGTGATCCGGGCCCGGCTGTGCTCCGCTGAGTTCAGTGTGAAGGCAGGAAGTGGAATCTGGATAGGTTCTGGTCCCCTGCACACCCCTCTCCTCACCCCTAACCAAGACGCCCCGGGGTCCTTCCCGCTGGGGGTAACTGGAGGAGCAGGTCCTCAGCAGCCCTCCTCTCCTCGGGTGACCGGAGCGCAGGGCCTGAGGCCTCCGGCCTGCAGAAACCCCGCTTCCCTGTTCCACACCCCTGCGTGCTCTGCCCTTGACAGCCCGGTGCCAGACACCGCTGTTGAATTAGCCGGTCTGCCCAAGCTTTCCGAAAGGACATGTTCGGATCATTCTTCTTTGACTTCTCTATCAGACAAACGTTATGTCTTCTGTTTTTTTTGCCTGACAATAGGAGCTGCATAATCCAACTTTTTCCCCTTTCTGCCTTCCGGTTAGGAGATTTTTGAAACTAAATTCGGCATCTGTCTGCCATTAATTATGAGCTCACTCTGACCTGGCCAGGTCCTTTGCGCCGACCTCTGGTGACTGACCCAGGATGGTCATATGTCATGTGTGAGTCCCCCGTCGTGAGGTCGGCACACGCGCTGAACAGGAACGTAACCGAGTCAGGTGGGACCTCTGACCTCATGAGAGTGTGTCCAAGGCACTTTCGTCACACAGGACCCAGAGAGGGGACAGGAGACCAGCTGAAGGAGGAGGCAGTGAGTGAGACTTGGGGTTCCGTACGCCATTCCCCTGTTTGGTCCCAAATAGTAACAGGATAAGACCCCCCCACACACACACACACACTCATGATCGAGGAATCGGAGGGACAAATGAACTTTCAGAATGAAATTCTCGGTGGGCCCATGACCAGGCTTCCCCCACTCACTGTGCTTGGTGGAAAAATGGTGGCAGATGCAGAAGCAGCCTTCTTGTCCAGCAGGGGGCGCCGGTGCAGTTTGGAAACCCAGTTGGTGGGAAGGGGCTGCCCCACACTGGATGGAAGCTGCTGTGGCCCACTGCCCAGCCCTCCAGATGGGAAGGAGCGCCTTTATTGTTCCCTAGAGCAATGCCAGCTCTGTTGCCAAGTCTTCTGGAAACTTCCAGGATATGCTCACTCACAGGCATGGGATTATTAACGTATCCCAAGATGCCAGGGAACATGGTCATGTGAAAGCCAAGCTCCCCGTCACTCCCCCAGGCCCTCTCCTTTTCCCCGAGGGGCTGCTTCATGTCACTTCTGGGTCCCACCGCAGGCCGTCTTGTCGTCATTCACTGTGTCCACCGGTGTGGCTGGAGCAGCTGGCTGCGGGCCAGGCACTGGTGTAGCCCTGGTGTGCGAGTTCAGGTGCAGGGGCCGCCGCCTTGCCGGTGGACCGGACGTGCGATCTTTTCCGCCTCTGACAATGACAGTAGTGACGCCGCAGACCTCCCCGCTCCCGGAGCTGTGACGGCTTCCGTTCTGGTACCCCGCTTACCCCGCGTCGGCCGTGCAGCGCGCGCTCTCCGGTTCCAGGGGCTCGGCTCTGTCAGATGTCACCTGCTCAGCAAGGCCTTCTGCACACGCTCCCCATGGCGCTCGCCAAGCCTGTGCTTTGTGGTCTGCGTTCTCCCACTGGACTGCGGGCTCTGCAGGGGCCCATTAAGTACGGGGACTGAGTGAACCCTGACTCGCCCCGTCCCCTAGGGACTCAGCCCCAGCACCCCAGTCCAGACCCTGTGCCTCCCTCACAGGGGTTCCCATGAATCCAGCGCTGTCTGGGCTGCGTGTCTGCCTGTCATCTCCGCAGGCCCGTAACTCCCTGCGAAGTGTAGGTACAGCTATTATTGTTATTTTGCAGACGAGGGAACTGAGATCGAACACCTTGTCCCAAATCACACAGCTCATCGATGGGGAGCAGGGACTGGGATTCGGGCCACCTGATGCCTCGGCGTCCTTTGTGTAAGGGGTGAGGATGTGGAGGAAGGGGACTGGAAGCCGTTTTCTCCTTCGGGGCGACTGCAGTCACGTACAGCAAGTTAAGGGTGAATGTCATTTCCTCAACAAGCAGGAACAAGAAAATGGATTTCTTCTTCTTTTTTTTTTTCTTTCGAAGGCACTAAAAATGGAAAGAGGACAGAGAGAGGCTGAGAGGGAGAGACCCCTACCGACACCCTTGAAAGAGGAAGAGACATGATTTTTCCTTTTTTTTTTTTTTTTTTTTTTATCAGCAGGGTTTCCAGTGGCTTCGTTCTAATCCCTGTGACCCAAGACACTGCCTCAGCTCTCAAGGAGGCACGCTTGCCTAGGGAGCCCTCTGCCTTTCTGGGCCCCCGCGCTCCCATGCTCCCTCCTTCAGGACAAAAATAGGCACCCATGCAACAAGGGACACCAGTTCTTCATCTCAGTCCCTCGTTTCCTGCCGAGGCCACCAGGTAGCAAAGCCCACTGGGAATGGGCAGCGTGCCCCGTGAGGCGACCCTATTTGTGTTATTGTCATTTATGAGTCTTCTTACAGGACGTTATTATTTGAGGGGTGAAGACTTTGCTGGTGACAACTAGGACGTGTCTCGGCAGCAGGCGACAGGCTGTGAGGACGGGGTTGTCCGGGGCCCGGGGCAGGCAGACTGCGGGGCGCTGGGTCAGCAGGTAGCGTGTGCGTCTGGCTCTAGGTCAGAAAACACCCTCCTTTCCTACGGGACAGGCTCAGTTACCCAGGACCCAGCAAGGGTCTTAGACGGGTTGACAAGCTGTGGCCCGTACACCAAGTCCACCTCTCCAGCCTGTTTCCGCAAACTCAGTGTGGGTGGCACTCGGCCACGTCCACGCACTCACCTGCTCGTGGTCTGGGGCAGATTTGTGCTACCAGCGGCGCTGGGTGATTGTGGCAGACCCCACTGCCCGCAACGCCTTAAATACTTGCTCTCTGGCCCTTCACGGGAAAAGTGTGCCCAACACTGGTCTAAAACATAAACAGAAAAGTGCCCTGAGAATTCAGACGGGGGGCAGGAGTCCTGGCGTTCACGCTCCGTCGTGGTCGGCGAGCCTGCAGCTCCACTCACAGAGCTTGGTGCAGGTCGTTCTGGCTCTTTTCTGCGAGCTTCCGTTCCCTCCCTGGGGCCGTGCACCTGTTTGACTTCCAGCACAAGGCTCTGCTGCGAGTGCACATGTAAACCAGGTGCTGTGGTGACAGTTATTTGTAAACCAGAAAGCACTCTACAGATGTGCGTGGTCTGCTTTCAACGGGAAGTGAGCACAGAGCTCCTGAGTTTGAGACACAAGGAGTGTGCTTGGGAGCCATCCAACAGGCCCCTTCTGTGGGGCTCGGGGGTGGAGGAGATTCTGCTGTTTCCCCAGGTCCTTCTGAGACAGATCTAATAAACAACCACCTGCCTGTGTGGACCGTGCTGAGAAGACCCGCCTCCCCAGCTGTGTTTGGCACCTCATTTTGCTCACCATGCCCCACCTCACGTCCTTACCTCACCCTCACCCACATCTTCCCCCTCTCTCGTGGCCCTGTTCAGATTTACCTCCTCCGTGAAGCCGTCCGTCCGCAGAGATCGCGTGGACCTTTGGAGGACGTGATTCTAGTCTGGCCTTGAGGTTCTCTGGTT